ATTACAGGCGTGAGCCACCAGCACCCGGCTAAAATGTTTTTCTTTTGAGGCAGGGTCTCACTGTATATCCCAGCCTGGTCTCCCAAACTGGAGCTCCTCCTGACTCAGCCCTCTGCATGCTGGGATTAGAGGTGTGCCTTTCACATCATCTCATTCTTCCTCCTCCAGATGGCTCTGGGAGGATGGAAAGGTCGGGATTAGCATTATGTTTTTTTGTTTTTTTTAACAGATGTGAAATCAGGCTCAGAGAGGTTGAGTGAGGTGTCTGGGGTCACACAGCTTGAAAGAGACAGGGCCTGGACTGCATTCCAGCTGCTGCTCTGAGTGTGAATGACTGGCCCTGTGCTTGCCTGGCTTTCCTCGGAGGCGGAGGGCCCTGTGTGGGGCGGGCTGGGAGCACTGAAGAGAGGGCTAGCTGGGCAGGCTCAGCAGCAGCAAGCCTTAGGAAAACACAGTCTTTTGCACACTGAGAGGCTGGTGTGGCATGTGAGCCCTCAGCCACTGGGCCACAGTGCTCAGGTGTGGCTCTGGCTGGGGGGGGGGAGGCTGGGGTGGGAACAGCCAATTCCTGGTCTGGGACCAGCGAAGCCACAGTGGGGAGTTTGACAATGGTAGCTGTTGTCATGGCAACTCCTAGAGTCCCAAATTTGGACTCCACTGCAAAATGTCTCCAACCTGGACCAGTCCCTTGCTGACCCCTTGGCCCCTCCCGGCAGGATGGGGCTGGAGAATCTGCGGGGTACAGGGAGAAGCAGTGACATGGCTCAGCCTGGTGTCCATCTGGTCCCTGAGGTCTGCCTGAAGATGCCACCCAGCTTTGGCTAGCCACCTTCTAGACGTGGTCAGCTCTGCTGAGCCACTGGCCAGAGCCAGAGCCCAGGGCACCTGGCTGGCATGCCACTTCATGCCACAGCCTGGCACCACTCCAGGGACTCAGGCCTAGAGAGTGTCAGCCAGTTGGGAAGAGCATCCAGAGCTCAGAGCCGTGGCCACAGGGGGCCCGGGCTGTGGGGAGGAGGCCTTTGGCCCTGTCATTGGCTGCCAAACCCACCCCTGGCTGGCTGGTCTGAGGCCTTCTGTGCCTCCCCCACTGGGCCTCCAGCTGGGAGCGCATCTTTCTCCGCCTCTGCCTCCCTCTGCCTCCCTGTGGATTTTCTTTCTCCTCATTCATGGCCTTTTAACAGAGAGATGGGCAGGAACAGTGCGGGAACCTGGACCCTGGCCTCTGGATTTGAATCCTGCTCATCTGTGTGAGCCCAAGGGAGTCATGCAAACTCTGAACCTTGTTCACCAGATCTTGCCTCATCACGTTGCAAGGGGGGGGGGTATGGAAGGGTCCATGACTTGTCTATACTTAGCACAGAGTATCAGATGGCCAGCTGAGTGTGGTGGTGCTCTCCTGTAATCCCAGCACTTCAGGAGGCTGAGGCAGGAGGATCTCTAATTTGAGAACAACTTGGATTACTTAGTGAGACCCTGTCTCAAAACCAAACCCAAATGAAAAGAGTTCTGCATTCATTCTATTCTTTTTGAGAAGGAAGTGTCTGTTGGCTGCCCCAAACATAAAAAGCTGGTGGCCTCAAATCTCCATTCTCTCCTGTTTTGCTGCCCCAGTACCTGGTCCCCGGGGCAGAGGAAATAATAGGTGCTCAATTTATCAGTAACATGAGGGAGAGGCAGACCACTGCATCTCCTGACCTGTACTGCCCAGGCGGGGCTGTCTTCCTGATGTATTTGTCCAGCACTCTGGCCTGGCTGAACCCCACTTCCTTTGTCTTGGGGTTCTTGTTCTCTCATTACCCTGCCTGTGGCCGGCACTTTCCGGAGGAAGACGCCCACAATTCACAACCCCAAAGCCTTGGCTGAATGCCACACCCGAACTGGAGAGAGCTGGCTACTTTTTGTATTTGTATTTGTATGTTTTGCTGGTCCTGGGGTTTCAACTCTAGGGTCTCACATTTGCTTTGTAGACCGCTTTACCATGGGAGCCACGCCCACCAGTTAGCCACGCCCACACCAGCGAGCCATGCCCTTTGTGTTAGCCACGCCCACACCAGACAAGCCACGGCCCATCGTTTTAGCCACGCCCCCCACCGCGAGCCACGCCCTGTGGTTTTAGCCTCGCCCACTCCACGAACATGCCGTTTGGGCCACGCCCTCCCCAGTCTTCTTTTTCCTTTATTTTTCAGGCAGTGCCTGGCAATTGTGTCTATGCGGGGCCTCAGCCTGCACATCTGTCTTCTGAGTATCTGGGATGACAGGTGTGTGCCACGACGCTCGGCTCACATTGATTGAGTTGGGAATCTTGATAACTTTGGTGTCCTGGCTGGCCTCTAATGTCTCAAGCCTCCTGATCGCTGCCTCTAAAGTTATCTGGGATGATAGGAGCGGGCCACTGTGCCTGGCTGGACCTGGTGGGTTTTGTTGTTGTTTGTCCCTATTTTGCAGAGGAAGTGGAGAAGGTGCCAGAGTCCCTGCCTGTGTCTCTTCAAGTGTGAGGATCACATAGGCAGTGTGTACAAGGGTTTCCAGAAGGTCTTAGCCCTTCCCATGCCACCCCATGCCCAGCCCAGTCTTGTTTCGTTCCTCCGCTCTTTGGCACAAGCCAGGAATGTCTTCCCTCCGGGCTTGCCAATCCTTCCCACCCCAGGCTGAGCTCAAATCTCCCTCCAGCTTTCCCGAGCCCGCGGCTCTTCTTGCCTGCGGCTTGTCTGGCCTGAAGCAGCGAGCCTGGAACACGTTCGTCTTGTTTTATGTGGGTTTGGCTCGCAGCACCGGCCAGCCTGGGGCGGGACTCTGCTCTCTCGCGTCTAAGAATCAGGATCAGAACAATTTTCTGGTCTGGGCTGGAGCTTTTTCCTCAAACAGCCCTAATATTTCTGCTTGCACACGGCCCTGATGGGCGCTTGCTACCCTCAACTCTGAGATCACCCATGCCTGACTTCCAAAGTGGACACAGCCTGGCACTGCCATCCCCCCTGGCCTGCTCCTCTGGCCACTTGCTGACTTCTCTCCCCTCCCCTTCCCTTTCCCCCCTCTTCCCTTCCTTCTCCTCCCCTCCCCTCCCCTCCCCTTCTCTCCTCTCCTTGCCTCTCCTGTCTCGCTATGTAGCCCAGGCTAGCCTCTAACAATCCTCCTGCCTCCACTTCCTGAGTTCTGGGATTACAGGCATGCCCCCTTGCACTTCGTTCAACACTCACTTTGGTTTCCAGTTCTAACTCAGATGTCCCTTCCGCCGTGAAGCCCTCCTGGATTTCTTGGGGCTCCTCTGGGGCTCCCTTCTTTCCCCAGCCTGGCTGCTTTCTTCATCTATAGCTACATAACTGCCTGTCCCCCATTCCCAAAGGAAGTCAACGCTAAACATTAAACATGGGATCAAACTACAGCGATGTCACGTCAGTAAATACAGGTCACATAAACCCTGCCTGGACACTGTGCTCCAGACTCAAAGACCCACAGGCTGCCGGCTTGGTAAGTGAGGGCTGGGCCAGCAGGCATTGGCAACAGGCTTTGCTAAACCAAAGTCCAGGGGTCCACCTGGTAAGCAGATAAGACCGCGCATGGCCAAGGGCTTTTCAAAAGCAAGCTGTCCTCTGTGGATGGGTGACTGTGACTGTCCCTGCCCCCATGGGGACAATGTTTGCCCTCCTGCCCTGGTGACAGCAGCCCAGAGACCAAACTGAACCTGAGCTGTGTAGCCTGGTGGCGCATCATAGACACCTGAGCGCCTATATGTATAAGAGAAGGCTGAGCTAGGTGCTGTGGCTCACTCCTGTAATTCCAGCTCTCAGGAGGCTGAGGTCTGAGAGGGAGGGTTGAAGTCAGCTGAGTTGAGCTTTATCCTTGCAGAGAGGGAAGCCGCAGAGCCCAGCGATGTCACACAGTGGTGGGACTCAGCCAGGCCTGCCCCTCCCCAGAGGCTGCCTGGCCCCTCTCCTCCACCTTCCTTGTCTTTGGGGAGGTTGGGGGGTGTGGTTCCGGGGTTTGAACTCCGAGTTTCATGCTTACTTGGCTTGCTTGTTCGTGGCTGGTGCTCTACCATGTGAGCCACACCTCCGGCCTGGCATTTTTTCTGGTTATTTGGAAGATAGACTCTTAGCATACTTTTCTGCCCAGGCTGATCTCTGATTTCAGTCCTCCAGCTCTCAGCCTCCTGAGTAGCTAGACTTACAGGTGGGAACCACCAAGGTCTGGCTTCCCCTGTCCTTTGACCAGGAAAAACAAGCTGGCTGATTTACCAACTAGCTGCTCAGACATCTCCTCCCCCCTCCCCCACTTCCACCAGGGGCTGCCTGAACCTCAGTTTCCCCACTTCAGGGGATGATTTTCATATTTCTGGGGTCCTGCCAGGGTTAAGGACAACACTTGGATGCCTGGGGAGGAGGGAGTCAGGTGTCTGTGCTGTGCCCTCTGACTCCTACTGTCCCAGCCCAGAACACGGGGCCCTCGGCACTCCAGCAGCACCCCGGAGCAGTGGCCACGCCCCTCCAGCCTGCTCTGGTCCCCCACCCCGGCCCCCAGCATCCCCTGTGAGAGCCAGCGGGACTAAGCTAGCTAGCCTCGCTATCCTTGCGGGGCTCTGTACCCCGGCTGCCATCCCAGACACCCTGCCCTGAGCCTAGATGTGCACCTGCCCAGGTCCTAGGTGTGGACTGAGTGCCGGGCATCTGCAGTCATTCGGCATCTGCAGTCATTCAGCATCTGCAAGCCAGGCACACCTGCACACCTGGCACACGCCTGCACACCTGGCACACGCACACACGCTCGGACCTGAGCCCCCCCCCGCACCCAGCTCTACCCACAGACTCTCCAATCCCAGGGGAACTGAGGGATTCTTGAGGGATGAGGACCTTGCTGAAGTCACCCCGCTCCCTCTTCCCAGGAGTGCAGGGGGCCCTCGTCTGCCCACCCGTGGGACCCCTGGGAAAGCTGGGTTCCCCATACCCTGGTGGGGGTGTCTGTCTGGCAGGTTGTTATAGAGCGGGGCTGGCTCTGGTGGGGAGACCTCGGGGTATAGGGCTCCCTCTGGCCCCTTCCAGCTGCCAGGCCTCCTGTCAGTCCAGCCACCTGGCTGGCAGGGCCCAGGGCCCAGAGCTGCTGTGGGGGCCCTTACCTCCAGGCTGCGCGGGGTGCAGGAGGCTCAGTAAGAAGAGCAGGAATCCGGGGTGCTGGGCCGCTGCAGACAGACCCGCCATCTCGGGGAGGAATGCGCCCAGCCTGCTCTCTGCACCTCGTTTTATCCCCAAGGCCTAATTGCAGCCTCCTTGGCTGGAGGGAGGGCGGGCGGGAGGGCGGGCGGAGGGGAGCTGGGGGAGGGGGCGCGGGGAGGGGGCAGTTACGAAAGGCCCCGCTTGCTCGCGGGCCCGCTGGGCTGGGTCTGCCCCGACTGGGATTTTTTTTTCCCCTACACATAGACACACACGCACACGCACACGCGCGCACACACACACGTCCCCCTCCCATTCCCTTCCCACTTTCCCTGTGTGGCTGTTCTGGCCCGGCTGGCCCGGATCCCGCCCCAAAGTGCGAGGGGCGCGCTGCCAGCTCGGCCCTGGGAGAGGAAGCGGGAGGGAGGCCTGGCCCGGCCCGGCCGCCAAAAACCTGCGCCCCAGCCAAGGCCCAGCGGCCAGGCCCCCGCCCCCCCCTCCGGCTGGGCCCCGGGCCCAGTGTGGGGACACGGGCCAGCTGTCCCGCGCCTCGCCTCCGCCCTGGCCCTCAGACACCCTACACCCCCCTCCCACCCCAGGCCTGGCTACAGACAAGCTCTGTCCTGACTGGGGTTGGGGTGAAGTAGGCCTGGGGCTCCCGGGTGAAGGGCTGATGGGGGACAGCAGGCTGGCCCTGCCAGGTGGGCGCCTTGGGGACAGGGTGCACCCATTGAGGCCGAGGGCTCAGCCACACAGGTGTGGGGTCCGCACTGCAGGAGCGGGGTGGGGGGGTGGGCTGTCCCGAGCCAAGGCCAGGCCAGTGCCATCCGCGAGGACACGTGGGGCACGGGGGGCACCCAGACACACAGGGCTCCGGCTCTGCATAGCCTCTGGCAAAGGTCAGACTGCACCCTGCATCCTGTGAATGGGGGAGCGAGCCCCTTCCCCATGGCACGAAGCCCCCCAATAGCAGGGTCACCACCAGTAACCCCCATGGATCCAGGAGCCCCTGCTGTTCCCCCACCCATGCACATGTGCACACACACTTGCACATACAACACACACACATACCCGCACACCCATGTGCATGCACACACACATGCACACAGGCACACACACATCACATGCACACACATACCTTTGTCTCTGGGAATGTCCAGGGCTGCAATTCCTCTAGTGACCAGGAGGGGGCGAGCCACCCCAGCCCAGCCCAGCCCAGCCAGGGGAGCACGGCCAGCCTGTCCTAGGTGAAGGGGGATCCCCAGGTTTTAGGGGGACAGAGCAGGGAGGGGCAGAGGAGGGTAGAGAAGGTCACGTCCTTTTGAGCCCACACTAGTGAGTGAGAATGTGAGATGGGAGGAAACGGTCTACCTGTGCTGGGGGGGAAGGGGGGAGTTCAGGTCATGTGTCCTGGGGCTTTTCCCTGCCCTGGGGGGTGGGGGTGGGCGATTAACAGCCCTCACCCAGCCAGCTGCCCAGAGAAGGCCAGAGCAGAGGCTAGAAAGGCAGGCCTGGGGCTCCAGATTCTACTGCCTCCATCGGCTGGAGGCCTGGGATTACCACTTCACCTGACTGACTCTAGTACTTTTTCCTTTTTTTTGTGCCAGTCCTGGGACTTGAACTCAGGGCCTGGGTGCTATACCTTTAGCTTTTTCATTCAAGGCTGGCTCTCTACCACTGGAGCCACAGCTCCACTTCTGGCTTCTTAGTTATTCATTGGAGGTAAGAGTTTCATGGACATTCTTGGCATAGGTTGGCTTCAAACTGAGATCCTCAGATCTTCAGCTCAAGGCTAGAGCCCTACCTCTTGAGCCACAGCACCATTTCTGGCCTTTTTCTGCTTATGTGGTACTGAGGAATGAAGCCCAGGGTTTCATGTATGTGAGGCAACCACTCTACCACTGAGCCAACTTCCCAGCCCCTCTAGTATTTTTTTTTTCCCTCATGGGGCTTGAACTCTGGGCCTGAATGCTGTCCCTCAGCTCTTCAGCTCAAGGCTAGCACTCTACCATTTGAGCCACTGCGTCACTTCTGGTTTTCTGGTGGTTTATTGGAGATAAGAGTCTCAGGGACTTTCCTGCCCGGGCTGGCTTAGAACCGTGATCCTCAGATCTCAGCCTCCTGAGTAGCTAGGATTACAGGCATGAGCCATTGGCGCCCGGCTTCTAGTATTTTTTTTAATGGAGTTATTTCTCATTTGCTAAATGATGGTGGCTGGGCCTACCTGGCAAGGTTGTTGCAAATATAGATAAAATGGATTCTTCTATTTCTGCCCTGTGCATGCCAGATTAAAAAAATATTCTTTGTAAAAAGTCTTATCTTCTAGCGAAGGTTCAAAGCCAGCCCAGGCAGGAAAGTCCATGAGACTCTTATCTCCAAGTAACCACAAGAAAACAGGAAGTGGTACTGTGGTTCAAGTGGTAGAGCACTCGCCTTAAGCTGAAGAGCTAAGGGACAGCGCCCAGGCCAAGAGTTCAAGCCCCACAACTGACCAAAAAAAAAAAAAAAGTCTTATCTGCATCCCATACTGCCATGATAGTTACCAGCTGGGCTGCACTCACTACTGTTCCTGGAGTAGCAGTCTTCCGGTTGGCTGTCTTCCTTCTAGTCCTCCTTGAGTCTCTAGTTATGGAAATACTCCAGAATTTTGGACAGTTCAAAGATGGATGCTGTGGTGTATGTCTGTAATCCCAGCTACTTGGGAGGCTGAGGCAGGAGGATCACAAGTTGGAGGCCAGCCTGGGCTACATAGCAAGTCTCTGTCTCAAGAAAGAAAGAGGGAAGACTAGGGGTGTGGCTCAAGTGGCAGAGCACCTCTTTGAGGAAATGTGAGGATTTGACTTCAAACTCAGTACTAAGTGGGGAGTGTCGGCTCATACTTGTAAGCCCAGCATCTCAGAAAGCTGAGATCTGAGATCACAGTTTAAAGCCAACCGAGGCAGGAACATCTGTGAGACGTGTGTGTGTGTCCTGGGGCTTGAACTCTGGGCCTGGGCACTTTCCCTTAGCTCTTCAGCTCAAGGCTATTGTTCTACTACTTGAGCTATAACACCACTTCTGGCTTTTTTTCTGCAGGGCTTCATGTATTCAAGGCAAGCACTCTGCCACTGAGCCACTTTCCCAGCCCCTGTGAGATTCTTATCTCCAGTGAACGACCAAAAAGCCAGAGTGGAGCTGTGGCTCAAGTGGTAGATCATCAGCCTTGAGGGAAAAAGCTAAGGACAGTGCCCAGACCCTGAGTTCAAGCCCCACCATTGGCACACACATGCACACGTAATATAGCAATGGAGACAGAGACAGAAACAGAGGCAGAGAAAATATGAAGACTTTGCTCTGGGTTGATGTGTGTGTGTGGGTTTGGGGTAGCCTAGTGGGGTTCTGAGGGCCTGGACCCTGTTCCTGGCAGGTGCTGGGGCAGGTCCAGGCCCTGAGCCAGGGAGGGAATTGGGGTGCGGTGGGGAGCGGGCCCCATGCTTCCAGGGGCCAGAACCGACTCAGCGCCTGATTGATTCTGGGGCTGGGATGGGGCTGGAGGGCGCTTTCCTGGGTAGACTCCAGGCTGCTACCAGGGCTTGGGTCCCATCCTGTCCTAGATCTCTACTAATAGGCATTCCAGAAGGTTCTAGGCACCCCTATCGGGGCTGCCGCCAAATCCATCGATGGAAGAGGTAGCCTACACACTGTCCTGCCGCTCACACAGCAAGGGGTGGACAGGCAGCAGGGATAGCCTGGGCAAAGCCACAGGGTTGCTGGAGACCTGCTGGTAGTCATTTACACTTGTGTGAGAGCAAGGGCCCTCCAGCCAGCCATGAAAGAAATGTGTTTGATTCTACATTAGGTGGGAGAACAGGAATTTTCATGGGGACCAAACAGGTTTGAGAAGGAAATGAATACTGGCTGGGGAGATGCTTGAGGCAACCTTAGCAACAAGACTGGGGGAAGAGCCCCATAGTGCACCCCAGCCCGGAGCAGACCTCCAGAGCACACCTCCCCGGCCCAGCTCGGCCCAGAATCGTACCCTCCACAACATGCCCTTGGCTCTTTCTCTGTGTCTCTGTCTCTTTCTTTTTCTCATGTGCATTGGGCTTGAACTCATGGCCTGGGCACTGTGGCTGAGTTTTATTACTCAAGGCAATCGCTCTACCACTTGAGCCACAGCACCACTTCTGCTTTTCTGGTGGTTTATTGGAGATAAGAGTCTCACAGAGTGGGCGCTGGTGGCTCACGCCTGTAATCCTAGCTACGCAGGAGGCTGAGATCTGAGGATTGTGGTTCAAAGCCAGCCCTGGCAGGAAAGTCCATGAAACTCTTATATCCAATAAACCACCAGAAAACTGGAAGTGGCGCTGTAGCTCAAGTGGTAGAGCACTAGCCTTGAGCTGAAGAGCTGAGGGACAGCGCTCAGGCCCAGAGTTCAAGCCCCACGACTGACACAAAAAAAAAAAAAAAAAGAGTCTCACAGACTTTCCTATCCAGGCTGGCTTTGAACTGAGATCCTCAGATCTCAGCCTCCTAAATAGTTAGGATTACAGCCTTGAGCCACCGGCACCTGGCTAGAGCACCATTCTTGAGCAAAGAAAAAGCTTGGGGACAGCGCCCAGGCTCTGAATTCAAGCCCCAGAATGGGCACATAAGGGGGGAAAAAAAAGAAAAAGAAGAAATAGAATTTTCCCTTGGTCCCTCAGCTCTTCAGCTAAAGGCTGGCGCTCTACCACTTGAGCCACAGCACCACTTCCAGCTTTTTTTTCTGCTTCTGTGGTGCTGAGGAATCGAACCCAGGGCCTCATGCATGCAAGGCAAACCCTCTACCATTGAGCCACCTTCCCAGCCCACCTTGGAGGTACTTTCAACTCATGACTTCCTGTTAAATCCTCCCTCGTGGGGTGCTGCTTGAAAAGGCGTGGGAGAAAAGGGGTTCGAGGTGGACACCTACGTGTTCAGAACTTCCTGAGCCATACCACTGAGGAACTGAGTCTCCAGAAGGCACGGGCCAAGGTTGTTCAAAGGCACTGTGTCCACCACTGGCCAGGCTGGGATGTTTCTGGGCTCTTCTGGGACTGAGTTGCCAGCCCCGCTGGGAC